CTTGCATTAGGTTTGGTTTGTTCTTCTGCTTCTTAAGGTTATTGATTAGGTTACTAATTTATTTCTTTCTCTTTAATGTAGGCTATATATTTCCCTTAGAACTATTTTTGCTACATTTCATAAGATTTGTTATGGTTTTTCATTACAAACTTTCAAAGTATTTTCTAGTTTCCTTTGTGATTTCTTCCTTGGCCCACTGGGTGTGTGTTGTTTAATTTCCACATATTTGTATATTAAAAACATTTCTTTTTGTTATTAATTTACAATTTCATGTCATTGTTGTTGAAAACATACTTTGTATAATTTCAATCTTTTAAAATGTATTGAGACTTGTGGCATAACATATGGTCTATCTTGGTGAGTGTTCTACGTGCACTTGAGAGGAATGTGTACCCTGTTGTTGTTGGGTGAAGTGTTCCACTGATGTCTATTAGATCTAGCTGATTTAGAATAGTTACTGAGTATTTGATTTCCTTGCTATCCTTTACGTCTTTTGTGGATTTTTTTTCTTTTTGTCTAGTGTCCTTTCATTCAGCTCCAAGTACTCTGTTGAGCACTCACTTAGGGCAGGCCTGCCAGCAATGAATTCTCAGCTTTTGTTCATCTGGGAATGCCTTAATTTCTCCTATATTTTCACAGACAGTTTTGCCCAATATAGAATTCTGTGCTAAGCTTTTTCCCCCCAGCACTTCGAATATACCATGTAATGCCTTTTGGTTTCTACAGTTTCTGATGAGAAATTAGGTATTAAGTACAGAGGATCACTGGTACATTATGAGTTACATCTCTCTTGGTGTTTTCAAGATTCCCTCTACAACAGTTTGACTGTGTTGTGTCCCAGTGTAAATATTTTTAGTTTATCCAACTTGGAGCTCAGTGAACTTCCTGAATGTGTAATGTGTTACATCACATTTCCAGTATCCTGACAATATTTCTTCAAATATTCTTTCAGATCCTTTGTTTTTTTCTCTGAGACTTCCATTGTGTATTGTTGATGGTGTCCCACAGGTCTCTGAGGCTATTTTCTTTCATTCATATTTTTTTCCTTTTCCTCAAACTGGAACATCTCAATTGACCTACTTTCAAGGTTTCTGAGATTTTTCTTCTGCCTGCTCAAAACTGTTTTTATCCCTGATAGTGAATTGAATTGTTTGTGTCCTGTAATTCTCATGTCCAAGTAAGTTCCTTTTCCTAATTTCTATAAAATGTAACTTTAAATTATAACTTTAAAAATTATAAATTTATAAAATCTTTTTATAATTGTATCTCTTTATTATATTCTGTATTTGGTGAGACACTCTTCTTATACTTTAGTTCTTCAGACTTGGTTTCCTTAAATCCTTGAGCATATTTAAAACAGTTAAAATCTTTGCCAGTAAGTTCAGTATCTAGGCTTTCTGTTGGAAATCAGATTCTCTTGCCTCACCCCATTTGTTGTTGCTGCCCTTTACAGCTGTAATTATATTTAGTGACTTTCATAAACTCATTCTATAAAATCTGTATTGTTATGTGTGACCACTTATATGTTTGATTCATTAGCTTAATTGTCAAGTAATGACTGGATGAAGATTTCCTTAAATGACTAAAACCAAAAAATTGCTCAGTCTTTGCTGAAGGGCTCTGTGTGCCTGTTGGAACATGTCTTGAACACTCAGCCAGGCGGCTTCTAACTTTTCTTTTGCCTTCATTCCCTGCTTGCTCAGATCCTCAAAGTCAGGCAGAGGTGAGAGATTAGGGTCTCTGGTTGTTTGTGAGCATGCACACAGTCCTAAACATGTACAGAGCCTTCTGGATTTCCAGAAAATATGTCAGAGTTTTTTGAAGTCCTTATGAACATCTCATTCCCAAACTTTCCTCCAAAGCTTTCTGGTTAGTTTACTGCTTGCCCCAGCTGCTACCCATTGCTTCATGTAGCAGTGGCAGGTAAATATTTTAAATAAATTCCCCACCCCCACTCCCGTAGAGGATCAGTTCCATAACAGGCAAGATAAATTGTGAATCAGTTTTCCTGGGAGTTATCAGATGGCTCAAACAAGGACTATCTCCAAATAAGGTCCATTCTGCTCTTTCTCATACCATGAATGTGGTATGTTCTTTTCAAGACTATTGCTGAACTAGGGAGCAAGATATGGAACTGGCATAAGTTAAAGAGCCAAAATGCTTGTTGTTCTTACTAACATTTGGCATTTTTTTTTTAAGTAACTCAGGTTACTATGAGTTTTTGATTAGTTTCTAGAGTACTGAAAAAGTTGAGTTTGACCATTTTTTTAAAGGCCAGTTTTACTGCTACCTTTATGAGGGCACAAAATTTTTAAATTCCTTAATCTACCATTTTTGCTCTCACCATGCTATTATATAATTTTACACCTTAACCAAATAGACAGTTAATAGAACCCAGTCATTATGATAATCTCAGACTAAACAATGGATAGTTGTGGTCTGAAACTGTTTTCTGTGCTCTCAACCTCTTATATACCAAGGACATCTGGTTGAATTATAAAGGGTATTAGTTCACTGTTTTTTCTTGGCAACATGTACAAGCAATCTACCAAATTGCATTATGTTTATTTATAATACATGTAACTATCTCTGTGCAAGACTGGGAATTCCTCAATGGGAAACACATGATTTCGCTCTATTTTTGAACTCTGATGCTTATCACAGAGCCTAGTACCTACTAGATACTTAAAAAATGTGTTTAATAATAAGACTAATGAAAAAAAAAATAGCTACTATATATTGAGTTCTAACTTTAGCCCAGGCCCTATGCCAAGCAAGTTTCTAAACTATTTTTTAAAATTGTAAAATATACAAATTAAAGTTTATATAACATATATTAAAAATGTTAAAGAATATTTAAACAGTACTAACAACCTAGTACAAGAATAAAACATTATCAGTAACTTCAACACATCCTGTGCTTCCCTCTCCATAATCTTAAATTGTATTAATCATTTCCTATATTTTCCTTACATATTTATCATATGTATATCTATGAATAATATATCACTTTACACTGTGCTAAAAATTCTATACAAGTATTATATTATTCTGATTTTTTTCCTCAACATTACGTATTTGAAAACCTTTCATTTTCTCACTGCTGCTCTCCATCATATGGATATATCTAAAGACATTTAAGCTTTAACATTATTCTGGATAGAATGGGCTGAAGTAATAAATCCCTAAAGGATGGATTAAAAAAAAGCATCCAGGATCAAGCCCTAAAGTATGCCAACTTTTAGAAATCATATAGAGGCAAAAGAGTCAGGGAAGAAGGTCAAAAGGGGGTTAGACTAATGAAATGAAAAGAAAATCAGGAGAAAGTGGTGCCATGGAAGCCTGGAAAGGATAGAATTTCAAACAGAAATGGTGTGGAGTGACAGAGAGTTCAATAAGTAGAGATACAGAAGAATCTGCTGGATCTGACAACATAGAGCACTGATGAAAAGCTTATCAGGTACGTTTCAGTGTAGCGGTGAGAGACAAACTATACTGGGATACTTTAAAGACAGAATGAGAAATGAGGAAGTAGATGACAGCATGTCTAAACCAGAAAAGGAAGCAGAGAAATGGAGGTGTTAGGATCTCAGAGGTAGAGAGTTTTACAAAATATTATGAACATTACAACGTTATGTATGACATTGAGAATAATCCTAGAGAGAGGCCAGCTGTTGCTGAAGCAAAATGAAGGGATAATCCAAAAAGAGAAGACTCTGATAAGAAGATGAGAAATGCAAGCCCGAGCATAAAGGGAATATCCTGTCATAGAAAGAGAGATAACATCTCAAGGGCAAAACGAGGGAGGAGAGAAGACGGGTGTGATGCTTGAGAATAGGAAAATGAGGAAGATTATATAATAGTTTCTAATCTTGGTGAATTTAGAAGGATATTAACTGAGAATGTGGATAAAAAAGTCCCCTGGAAACATGCAAAGGTAAGTTTGCCAAAGAAACAGAGTAGAATTACAAAGCAATATTGAGTGTCTGTCTTGGTTCATTTGGACTGCTGTACCCAAATACCATAAACTAAGTGGCTTATACAAACAACAGACATTTATTTCTCCCGTTCTGGAGGCTGGAAAGCCCAAAATCTAGGTGTCAAAAGATCTGGTGTTTAGTGAAGGCCCGCTTCCTCAGTGATGGCTGTCTTCTCACTGTAACGTCACATGGTAGAGAGGACAGGGATCTCTTGAGCCTCTTGGGTAAGAGTACTCATCCCATTCATGAGGGCTGCATCCTGAAAACCTAATCACCTCTCAAAACACCTACCTCCTAATACACTCAGGTATGAAGATTTCAACATGAATTTGGAGAAACATTTTTCAAACTATAGCAGTGCCCATTTGAACATTAAAATCATGCATTTCGAGTGAAGTCAATCAGTTCATTTGTGTCATCTTCTTCCTCAGGTAATATCCACCTGCTCAAGTGAAGGCATAGAGAAAGAAATGGAAAAGTTCAACCACACAAGGGTTTTGCCATTCAAACACCTTTCCTCTCTGAAAGAAGGGCAGACATGCATTTTCTAGGTTATACTTATGCCGAATGAAAATAGTTCAAAATACAAACAATGGAGTAATAGCAAATTTAGGTGTTACGTTAATGGATTACCACTTCCAATTTTTTATTTTGCCTTAGTTTTCAAGATCATATATAGCACATTTTGCCTGTGAGTCTTTCACTAATTATCTCAGTTTTGCCCTATATTGTACTTCCATTTCTATTAGTGCATTTTCTAAAAACACATAAATAGGATATGTATCTATAGGATAACTGCAATGATTGCTGCTCTAGAAATATTTTATTTGAAAAAAAAAAAAGGTAAAAAGCAAAATATACTTTTCCCCTATAAAACAAAGGAGTTCACTTATGGCAAGGTGTTAATCTTCTTTTCACTGTAGAAATAAAGCAAAATATACTTTTCCCCTATAAAACAAAGGAGTTCACTTATGGCAAGGTGTTAATCTTCTTTTCACTGTAGAAATAAATTATATAAAATTTAAGTTCTTGATTTATACTTTATTTTCTGTCTTTTATATATAACACATACTCATTGAAGGGAAACGACTAAAAATACAGATTTATACCTAAATGGGTAATGATTACATAATCATTCTGACTCCAAAAAGAATTGTATTAGTTATAAACAAGTATAAACTTCAAATAGGCCATATAAATACTAATTTGTTATATACAACATAATTTTCTACAAATATTAGTTTTATGCTATTACTTTTCAAAATATTTCAAACCAGTTATTTTTTTCCTTGTGCTTCAGTTTTCTCACTTGTAATTTAGGGACTTACTCCTTTTTATAGATATACTAGAAATTAAGCTTTTTTCCGCTGATAAGAATGTCAAATCAGGCACATTGGGATTTATCCCTTTAAAAATACAGTCATTTTGAATCTTCCTAATAGGTAATGGTCTGAAGTCAGAGTCCAGTTACACCATGGAGATAAGACACACTGCCCACTGGCAACTCCTCCTCTGGTAGTTTTTTTCCTCCAGTGTTTGAACAGATCATTGTTTCTTTCTTTTTTTTTTTTTTTTTTTTGAGACGGAGTTTCGCTCTTGTTACCCAGGCTGGAGTGCAATGGCACGATCTCGGCTCACCGCAACCTCCGCCTCCTGGGTTCAGGCAAATTCTCCTGCCTCAGCCTCCTGAGTAGCTGGGATTACAGGCACACACCACCGTGCCCAGCTAATTTTTTGTATTTTTAGTAGAGACAGGGTTTCACCATGTTGACCAGGATGGTATCGATCTCTTGACCTCGTGATCCACCCGCCTTGGCCTCTCAAAGTGCTGGGATTACAGGCGTGAGCCACCGCGGCCGGCCACTGTTTCTTTAGCTTGAACACCAGATAAAATTTGCAGTTGGTTGGATTTGGGACCCGTACTGTATGACAAATACCTATCTTCAAACAGCAGACTTAGACACAGCTCAGGCTGTCTCCACACCTAGAACTCATTGGAAAGGCTGAGCTCCACCTTGAGTTCCATCAAGGGCTCCCACAGAGTGGAATCCACCCTATTTAAATTACTTTTCGCTCTCCTTTCTTTCTCATCATTGCTGAGTGTATATTTAAAATTGCATAAAAATGTATGCAGTCAAATATATACAGTATGCTAAAGTAGAACAGAAATGAGATTCACTGCCATATATCCCAGGAGCATAATTCTCTGTTATTTTTCTCTCTTCTAACAACTCTTTAAGGGTAGCTATTTTGGGGACAGAGACATAGGCTAGGTTCAGATGCTACTAAGTATGCCTACTCATATTAATAAGAAAGCAAATGAATCTTTAGGTAAGGAGGCATTTATTAGGTCATATCCTTATACTAATTCTTAATTTAGACAGAATTTTTATATGCTGTTAATTTAGAACTAGTCTTGTAAAAAAAACATTCTTCAAACCTTTCATACTACCTTATGCTTCCTGAATACAGGGGAAACTGCAGAGCTGGAGAGATGGCTAACAAAAAAATAGAGCATCTCATATTTAGAATAGACACACAGCAATACAAACTCAGGTAAACATGTTACTTACTTCCATGTTACTGAGATAAAAAAATATTATCAAGACTCACAATCTTATGATACAAAGAAAACTGTAACTATCAAATTTTAAAGTAAAACTTCAAAGAATAAAAAATAATCTTCAGTGTTTTAGAAAGGCCCTATTTTGCAAACACAATGAAATAAGATAATCAGGAAAGAAGTGTCTGCACTTGCTGCGGCGATCTGTGAAGAATGTTCTCTGGATCTTTGTATTCATTGATTGGATTCATCACAGCTGCATACACTTCACCATAGGCTCTGCAGACTAATTCTGTGGACTGTTTTATGATCTGCTCTCTACAGATAAACAAAGCATAAACACATCATTTGAAAGAAATATATTTACTTAATAATTATAAAACAGCTTGACACTTCAATCAATACAGTTCATTTTCATTACCATTACACATACACTATTGAAGAATCACTATATGGCCACACAGTTAATCCTGATTTGGGATAAAATATATTTTTATATTTATTATTTATTAAATCTTTCTCCATTACCATATAGGTTCCAGAGGGCATGGACTGTGTTTTGTTCCTGATATATAATGAACTGGTATATGTTTGTACCTGATAAACAGTGGACTGCTAAATAAAAAACAAAAACTTTGACCCAGTGTCAATGTATTGATATTGCAAAAGTAACTGGTAACACATTAAAAGAAAGATGCTTACAGTTGTTCAAATTTATCAACACTCTCATCTCCCATAAAAGTTGAACCGCTCTTTCACCTATAGTTTTTACACTAACAACCACATCTCCTAGCTTTCTCTCATCTCTCTGTATTAACCCAAGCTAAAATGTGACACTTGCTCGCAACAAATCACAGCTTTCTCACAAACATACATTTCTACAAAAGCACACAAAAGAATAGTCTTGCAAATGTTTACAAAATTATTCAGCTGGAAAAAACAGTATTGGGTTTGTTAAACCTGCGACTACTCCCCACCCACTTCATGACTAACTTCCTGCCATCCGCAGCTGCTTGGACGATTCACACAACACTCTATCTCCTCATGAGAACACCGGCACTAGTTTTCTGATTTTTACAAGAACTACATTAAGAGTGTGTCTTTAAAGCTTTGCTTCCAGACCTCCTTTTCTTGTAGTTTCCTATTTCTGCTAATGGCATAGCGATGTCTTATTCCTTCAGCTCAGGCTCTAAAATGACCTCTTGCCTGGAGTACACGAAAAGCTCCTAGACGTGCGATGGTCTTCCCTCTTTCAGTCTCTTCCACAATCAACCCATCCTAGGCACTGTTGTTAGGTTAATCTTTCTGAGGCATACTTTCTATCACATCTCTCTCGTACCTAGGCCTTCTAAGAGCTTCAATGGCCTCCTTTGGTTTCAGAGAAGCCAACATTCCTTCTCCTACCATTCACGATAATCCAACACTTTCCCTATCACTGCTCTAATTCCAGTGCAACCCCTGACTGTCCTCTCTGCTCTGGTCTTGCTGATCTCAGTTTCTTTACTCATACTTCATTTCCCTAGAATGCCTCTTTCACCACTTTTAACAGCTAATGTTCGGCAAAAATGTTCTCTTATCCATGAAGTCTTGCCTGATCTTTAGAGCTTGAAACAATTACTTCCTTTGAGAATGTCCATGGCACTTTTTCTGTTCCTTACGTATGGCTTTTACCACTCCTAACTTATAATAAGCCTTCTACATTTTCTTGAATTGACGTTCAGATCCCAACAGCTTTGTTCTGAGAAGGGGTTAGTTCTGCATCAAATGTGTATGACTGCAATATAACCCAATTTCAAAATGTACTTTAAAAATTAATAATTACAGAAATATGTTGTTCATGTCTTACCTGTCCTGCAAAATTTCAAGTAACATGACACTGTTCATGTTCATGTCCTTTAAAACCCAGCATATTTTAAATGTGATGGATGCTCAATAAATACATGTTCACTGAATGCTTGTTGGAGAAAAATAACTTTTTCCTTATTTACAGTCCTATTCTGGGCTCTTGAGCCACCATCGTTTTTCATAAATGCTGAATCAGTGGCTATTTCAGGACAAACTGTCTCTTCACATAGTTAAGAGTACATTACTGTGACTAGCCAGACTAACGTAATAGTTACAGCAGTAATAGTGTGTTGCCACACAAGTCATTGTCATGAAGTCACCATCAACAGAACACATTCTTTGTTTTTCTAGGAATTATGTTCTTGCATACAATGACTGTAACAAAATAATGCTAATAATGGAGAAAATAATATGTTTTTGAGATGATCTGTGGAAATATATGCATCCTGTAGTCTAGAACAGAACAAAAACAGGTGGATGGAATGAGGAAAGAAGTCCACTTATGATCTTGGAACATAAATACACTGCTCTAATGGGGTCCAAACTCTTGGTGAGTTGAAGTAACTTGACATTTTCCAAAAACTGCTAAAGTTTCCAAAATGGCAGTGAGTAGAAAGAAAGACACGCTAAGTCAATTTTCTGAGTGGAGTAGGGTACAACTACCGGTTACACTACCTTTCTGTTGAAAGTTAAGGGACGATGGTAGAAACTGGTTTAGAAAACTACTTAACTAAACGAGGCTTGGAGATTTTTGTTTGTTTGTTTTGTTTGAGAAGAGTCTCACTTTGTCACCCAGGCTGGAGTGCAGTGGTGCAATTTTGGCTCACTGCAACCTCTGCTTCCCCAGTTCAAGCGATTCTCCTGCTTAAGCCTCCAAAGTAGCTGGGATTACAGGCATGTACCACTATGCCTGGCTAGTTTTTATATTCTTAGTATAGACAGGGTTTTACCATGTTGACCAGGCTGGCTTCAAACTCTTGACCTTGGGTTATCCACCCGCCTCAGCCTCCCAAAGCACTGGGATTATAGACATGGGCCACCGTGCCTGGCCTGGAGATAATTTTTGATCTATTGATTGGTAATTCCTATAATTAAATTTGCTTGACAATATAACAAAATAATGCAGAAATTATTCTTCATTAAAAAGTACTATAAACTAGTATTTTACAACTGTTAGATATAACATACATTTGATATCCACTTTTGCAACAAGTCAGATACTGGATTTTAGAACAATGTTCTTAGCTCTTTTCCAAGGGCAATAACATAGGTTTCTGAGAGGTGTATAAAGCATTCATTACTCATGCCTCATACTCAAGTCTATATTCAATCTCAATATACCATATATTTGATAGTATATAAGGAGTACACAGAAACAAGGCTATCTTTCTCATAAAAATATAAAATAAGAATAATGTACAATTATAAATGTTAAATATGACTTTTTAAAGTTCAGAGTAACTTGCAAATGTAGTTTTTGTTGAAACTTCTGAAGGAGCGAAATTTAAATTTCATTTTCAAGTCCTAGTGATGAAAAAATTTTAAATTTACTGAAATTTAGTTGTAACTTGATACATTTATTTCTAAGCTAAATTAATTCACAAATGTCTGTAGCAATGAAGCTGAAGATCCATTATAAGTCTGCAATAAAGAAAAATAAAATAAAGCAGTACTGCATAAACACAGATAATTAAATAAAACCAAGCCAGTTAAAACCAAGCAAGAGTTAATAATTATTTTAAAATTTGGTGTTAGATGGTATAGCACATCTTCATTCTGCTCCTCAGTTTAAGAAGCCACTGAGATAGCAAAGGGGTTAAAAAAAGAATATACATATGGTGGAGAAAAGGAAGAAATAGCAAAGCTGGTGGATAAAGAAATCTTCGTGTACCACAAGAAGGAAGGAGGAAGGAAAAAAAGCAAGGGATAAGGAACGGCTCCTCCTGGCCTGCTAACTGCTAAGGCCAACAGGATGGAAATAAATAGAAAAGGGAGATTCTCTAAAGTGAATCTGAGTCAAACTCAAACTATAAAGACCGAGCACTCTGGCTGAGAGTATGATTCCACATTTCTGAACAAACACGAGTTCATTTATCACTACCAAAGCAATAGGTTACTACACATACTTTCATTAAATATTTTCTAATTTGTTCTATATGGTACAGTACAGATAAAATGGTACAGTGGAAGAAGACTTAAGCTCCGCCACTTATTACTGTTGCCTTGAACAGGTAATTTAACCTCTTCAAGACTGCTTTCTCCACTATAAACCAACTACTGAACTAGTTAATCTTCATAAGGTACTTTGAGCTTTTAAGCTATTTTATTCCATTGAGAGTTAAGAGTATTTTAATGAGCTATTGTTTAAAATAAAACTACGTATGTGAATAAATATATTACATATACACACACATACATTATTTTGGGAAACTTAGACCTAACTTAGATGCTATTCTCTCATTATTTTGGGAACTGATATAAAAGCATATCAGTCATTTAATAATGGATGTTTCTACAGTGCTACAACCAATTTATTCTCTTGCCAGTATACTATGCTTTTTATTTATCGTAATAATTACTATGTAAATTCATCCTTTATCTTAAGAAGAATATTAAGCACCTGTGATCTATCTATCTATATTGTCTGCCAGTCTGCCTGGTGTCTTAGCCCAAATTATTCACTAATTACTAATATCACACATGAAATACAGTCTCAAATAATAATGAATCATTATTGTGATAAATAGTCAATGTTCAAAATGGAAAAGTTTCCAGTATTCTAGGACTAAATCCAAAATGACCAACAAATCATCTCAGTTCAGTCATGTTCTTCTGAAAGTTTGGAACATCCTTATCGACTAAATACCCTACGCAGAGGCAGTGAGAGCAGTGCATGCTGAACCCTGTTCTAGCATGGGCATCCTCCTGATTTTACTTACGTACTGTTTTGATCAGTCACAGCCTAGCCCATAGCTGATGGGGAGTACTTTCAGAATTGTTTTGTGTTCCTGCTTTGCACAAGACCAAAAGATAGGCAAAAAGACCAGTTGAAAAGGAGATGTAACTTTTTATTTGTATATAAGCTACGATCATCTGTAAAGGTAAGAGCATTAACTTTCCTGGTCTCTTTGCTACCATGAAATCTTCATAAACATTAATTTTTTAAGTGATGTCCTATGGGCCTTCGGATAGTTTATTTTCCCAGTGTAAGCATAATTTTCAAAAAATTAAAAACATGATTCTCACAAAAATAAATAATGATGGGTCAAAAATTTAATAACTCATTAATGAGGAAACTGCTAAGAAGGTAAAGCTGGTTCAAAGTGCATTTTGAGAAATGGTCATTTACAGGTGTTTGGAAAAGACAGTTATAACAAAACAGGTTAGGTAAAAATGTGCTACGGAGCAAGAAAAACTTGGGGGCTACTTCTACTGTACAGAATCTATAAATTAACATGTCCACAGAGTTTGGA